CCTGCATATTCCTCTCCGGATTTAAATTAGATGATTGGAGAAAGCAATATTATGGATAGAGGACTCCAGAGTATTTAAGCTGAAAGCAAAGGTTTTAATATAAAAACATCTTAATGATGGATTTGTTTCTTACAAACATGCAGCTTTTCTCTTCACAAGATGTTAACTGATGGATTGGAGTGGTGTGGATTACTGTGATGTTTTTATCAGCTGTTTGGACTCTCATTCTGACGGCACCCATTCACTGCAGAGCATCCACTGGTGAGCAAGGTGAGTAAATTCTCATTTTTGGGTGAACTTATTCTTTTAACTAATTACATTTTTATTTGAATGTGATGCAACTGAGGCTTTGTTTGAAAATTTCGCCACAGAGATACAGTACTCGTCATCTTGCTCCGCAAATGTTTAATCCTGTTCTTTCCCAAGCACAATTTGTATGCCACTGTCTTCATGGTTTAAGAGAGACTAAAAGCATGAGGGGGGAAAGTGCAAACAATACATGACAAAGAGTGAAACAAAAGGGGACTATTAAACAGGATTTGGTCTACGTGAACAGAGTAAAAATAACATTTCACAGACAATAAACAAGCACCGCGAGCACAACATCTACAGCAAAGAGGACTGAAATAATAGCCTATTATGAGCTATTAACTCATAACAAATAAACATCATAGACATTAAAAGATTCGATTATAAGCTGTTTTGTGAATGCAGCGATTCATCATTTCAGTGTGAGGGAAAATGCATTTTCATTCACTGTAAGTTAGAATTAGAAAAGCAGAACTAAATAGAGTCATTTAAGTTTATAACTGTTTAAATACTTTGAGTAAATAAAGAGTTTATTAATTTCTGGAATGTTCGAATGGAATGTATTAAAACCACATGGACAAAAGAAAAGAGCAACAAGATTTTCAGAACTGAATTGCAGACTTGTTCCTCAAAGAGGAACAACAACTATTTATAAGTCATGAAGATTCAAAGTATGACAGGCACATGCTGTTACTAGTTTGTAAGGAGGAAGACTTGGAGGAAAAATGACGAACTAACTCCCTCAGAGTTTGCTATTTCCAGTCTTATCTCTTCACTCCACCCACACTGGAATTCTACTTCCTTCAAGTTGAAATGTTACCATTGTCTTCCATTAATTACACATCAGTGACATTAAATGTTTTGCAGGAGGATGTTATCAACACACAGTGTGGATATGATGTTCGGGCAAAATCGGTGAGTCTTGCTCTCAGTCTTATGACTTTTCACACTCCCTCCGTCAGTTTGATGCAAAATGAAAGCAGTGTTTCCCCACTTCACCTCTGAGAGCCAATATATCAACCGCACAACTCTCAAAGTAAAGGCCGCTTTGGCTCACCTATAAAAGAAAGATGCTGCTATTCATTTGATACACGATGGTAAAGAAACTCAAAGTACTGTACCTAGTACAGTACTTTGCAGAAATATGCACGCATATAAAAGTTTGCGTCATTTTTTAATAATTCTTAATAATATTGTAACAAAGTTCTTAGTCACGGGAAGAAGGAGGCGGGAACCGGCGAACATTTCTTCACAAGATGTTAACTGATGGATTGGAGTGGTGTGGATTACTGTGATGTTTTTATCAGCTGTTTGGACTCTCATTCTGACGGCACCCATTCACTGCAGAGCATCCACTGGTGAGCAAGGTGAGTAAATTCTCATTTTTGGGTGAACTTATTCTTTTAACTAATTACATTTTTATTTGAATGTGATGCAACTGAGGCTTTGTTTGAAAATTTCGCCACAGAGATACAGTACTCGTCATCTTGCTCCGCAAATGTTTAATCCTGTTCTTTCCCAAGCACAATTTGTATGCCACTGTCTTCATGGTTTAAGAGAGACTAAAAGCATGAGGGGGGAAAGTGCAAACAATACATGACAAAGAGTGAAACAAAAGGGGACTATTAAACAGGATTTGGTCTACGTGAACAGAGTAAAAATAACATTTCACAGACAATAAACAAGCACCGCGAGCACAACATCTACAGCAAAGAGGACTGAAATAATAGCCTATTATGAGCTATTAACTCATAACAAATAAACATCATAGACATTAAAAGATTCGATTATAAGCTGTTTTGTGAATGCAGCGATTCATCATTTCAGTGTGAGGGAAAATGCATTTTCATTCACTGTAAGTTAGAATTAGAAAAGCAGAACTAAATAGTCATTTAAGTTTATAACTGTTTAAATACTTTAAGGAGTAAATAAAGAGTTTATTAATTTCTGTAATGTTCGAATGGAATGTATTAAAACCACATGGACAAAAGAAAAGAGCAACAAGATTTTCAGAACTGAATTGCAGACTTGTTCCTCAAAGAGGAACAACAACTATTTATAAGTCATGAAGATTCAAAGTATGACAGGCACATGCTGTTACTAGTTTGTAAGGAGGAAGACTTGGAGGAAAAATGACGAACTAACTCCCTCAGAGTTTGCTATTTCCAGTCTTATCTCTTCACTCCACCCACACTGGAATTCTACTTCCTTCAAGTTGAAATGTTACCATTGTCTTCCATTAATTACACATCAGTGACATTAAATGTTTTGCAGGAGGATGTTATCAACACACAGTGTGGATATGATGTTCGGGCAAAATCGGTGAGTCTTGCTCTCAGTCTTATGACTTTTCACACTCCATCCGTCAGTTTGATGCAAAATGAAAGCAGTGTTTCCCCACTTCACCTCTGATTGCTTCTGAGAGCCAATATATCAACCGCACAACTCTCAAAGTAAAGGCCGCTTTGGCTCACCTATAAAAGAAAGATGCTGCTATTCATTTCATACACGATGGTAAAGAAACTCAAAGTACTGTACCTAGTACAGTACTTTGCAGAAATATGCACGCATATAAAAGTTTGCGTCATTTTTTAATAATTCTTAATAATATTGTAACAAAGTTCTTAGTCACGGGAAGAAGGAGGCGGGAACCGGCGAACATTCAACGAAACTTTAATGATAAAATAAAATATAATTTATGAACTTTAATAAATAAATAAGTTCTAATTTAATAAGTTAATTTAAGAATGAATGGAAAATTAATAGAGCAGGACGGTTATGCTGCTAGATATTTGCATAAAGTAAGTCATGCTAGAAAGTAAAAATAATAATAATAAAAATAAAAAAACACACTTTTTGAATTGAAATTGATTGTGATCTCACACAAGACAAATATTGTGACAGCAGAAATGTTGCAGAAGACAAAGTATGGCATGTTGTACGACAAAAAAAATTTTCACATTAACTTGCAATATTTCATCAAAATTCACATCCGAAAATGAATTTTTCGTATTTATTCTCAAGAGCTCATTCAACCTCAGTGAGCATCTATGCATCATATAAGCATCTCGTTTAACATTAACACTGAGATATTTGTACATTTATTATATACAGGACCAGTCAAATGTTTGGACATATTATTCTCATTATATACTCATTATTATTCATATTTTCTATTTTCAAAATTATAATGAAATTAAACAAACAGGAGTATTGGCATTACATAGAGAAGCTTCTTCATCCTGAGATGCTTTATAAACGGTATTCTCAATGTGTTTTTTCTTCATTGTCAGGTCCAATTTAAAAATAAATAATATTTAAATTTTTTCTAAATTCTAAAATGTAATTCTAAATTTTCTAATTATCTAAAAAAAAAATAATAAAATATTTGTATTATATATATACACACACACACACACTGAAAAAATGTTATAGAAACAGTTTTTACTCAGAAATTGTTAGTGCATTTCATAATTATTTACAAAGAAATGGCTAGTAACACAATGAATTAAATGTGAAATAAAGTATTTACATTTATTTATGTTCATTTATGTATTTATTTATATTTACCTTTAAAATGTACTCCAATAATTTTTGGAGTGGGATTATTTACAATTTCGGAAAAAAATTTTTTTTACAGTGATATATATATATATATATATATAAAATGTAAACAATACAGAAGCATGATCCTTTAGATAGAAGGTCTGTAAGATGACATGAGAAATAAATGTAGGTGTGTTCAAATTTTAGACTTGTACTGTGCATGTGTAGAAAGAGGACAAAGCATTGCTTCTGATTTCATTTGTTCGTCATTAGGACGCAGAGCAGAAGACATACATTCATGTCAAAGGCTGTGTGCCGCAGTTTGAGAAATGGCTACAGGACAACCTGACGGTAGTGGCTGGGATCTTCATCGGCGTCGCTCTGCTGCAGGTGAGAACATCTTCATCTGCATTCGCTCACTGCATCTTCTGTTTCTATTTCATGTTTCTCTCTCTTTTTCCACAGATATTTGGAATATGCCTTGCACAAAATTTAATCAGCGATATTGAAGCTGTGAGAGCCAGCTGGTAAGAACACACACATGCAAACTCACGACACGTTGTCTCTGTTCCTGCTCTACTTTTGCAAACTGCAACGGCAAGCAGCTTTTCTCTTTCACCCTAGTGCTTTGATGCCTGTGCATCTTCTACTGTATTCATAATGCACATTAATGGCTCACTGCTTTGAAACTGTTAATGAATCAGCCTGTTTCTGGAGTTTTATAAACAACCTTTCCGAGTTTGCCGTTTTTGCTTCGAGAAGTGCCACCATGTGGACAAAACAAGAATCAGACGAAGATGATGTTTGATCAAAACTCTCTCAGCTGTCAATGTGTTGACAGATCACTTGAACAGAAAAATACTGTTAAAATATATAATATTAAGATGAATTACAGTACTGACCTGCATCATATTTGCTGAATGAAATCCAATACTTGTTTCTTACTAATTTGGGGTGCTGATTTAAAAAAAAAATAAAGTGTGTTTTGCTCTAGCATGTAACTTTCTTACGAAATATGTGCATTTTGTGCTTTCGACATCCATTTGTTTATCAGCAGAAGAAACGCCACAAAAACCATATATATATATATATATACTGTATATATACCGTGTATATATATATATATATATATATATATAATTCTGATGAATGATTGAGTATTTGAAATTAAATGAGAATTTAACATTAAATGTCAGTGAAGTCAGCAAAGAGTTAAGAATATTTGAAAATGGTATTTTAAAACTGAAACTTTTGACATTTGTCTTTTGTTATCTTGATAAATGCATTAAAGGAATAGTTCACCCAAAAAAACGCAAATTTGCTGAAAATGTCCTCACTATCAGGCCATCCAAGATGTAGATGAGTTTTGTTTCCTCATCAGAACAGATTTGGAGAAATGTAGCATTGCATCACTTGCTCACCAATGGATGCTCTGCAGTGAATGGGTGCCGTCAGAATGAGAGTCCAAACAGCTGATAAAAACATCACAATAATCCACACCACTCCAGTCCATCAAATAATGTCTTGTGAAGTGAAAAGCTGTGTGTTTATAAGAAACAAATCCATCATTAAGAAGTTATTTGCTTCATACAAGTCTTATATCCATAATATTGCTTTCTCCAGTGAAAAATTCATCTTGTCTGAATCAGGAGAGAAATATGCACAGATCAAACACAGTGTACAATTGAAAACAGTCGAAAACATTTCTAAAACAAATATGTGGGTGGATTTTGATGTGAGAGGACAACAGGGGATGGACTTTTTCACTGGAGGATTTATGGATTATGGACTCATATTTTGGCCAGAAGCGATGGTTTAAAGTTTAAACGTCTTAATGATGGATTTGTTTCTTACAATCACACAGCTTTTCGCTTCACAAGATTAATGTAATTGATGGACTGGAGCGGTGTGGATTATTGTGACGTTTTGATCAGTTGTTTGGACTCTCATTCTGACGGCACCCATTCACTATTCCTTTAGGTGATACACATATAACTTGAAATATATCTGGTTTTGTGAAAAAAAAAAAAAATGTTGGTGATGGAAATTTTATTGATATTTTTGAACTCTGCATTATCAAATTACTAATATTAGACATTTTTTTGCAAATCAGCAGAATTTTTTTTCAGGATGCATGGCTGTGCAATAATCAATAATACAATAATCATCATGTATTAGCGCTTTAGAGTTATTATCTCTGGGCTAATATGAATGTGATTTTACTCCTATTTGAACTCCTCGCGACACACACACACACACACACACCACAGCTCCACTCACTTTCCTCCGTGCTCTCCGTCACATCCACGCCAACTCACCTCACAACTTCACTTCTCCTCCCCCATGCCTTCATCAGGGTGCCGCCCCCCTCTTACATCGCCCGCCGCCCCCCGTCCCACTACAGCAAGAAAGCCTCGGTGTACTCCTGAGGGAGGTTGTCCTGGTGGGTGTGAAACATGCCTGCTTGTGTTGTGTGTGCTCCCTGTGTTCTTCTAGAATCTAGATCATCAGCGCTCTGCTCTTCCTCCACTGAGGGCTAGTCGGTGTTCTCTCAGTGTTCGTCTTCCTGCCATGACCATAATCATCATCATCACTAAGATCAAACCAGTTACACTTTCACATGGTTAACCATCTTTACATCACACCTGGATGAGATTCTCTGATTTATTT